AATTGATTCCAGTGTGGGAATCCACTTGGGTGACTTCCTCCTCTTTACTGTCCCTACCTGGATATAGACCATTTTCAAGTTTGAACTTTCATTTATTGGCTTCTCCTATGGTTTTTCAATGGATACATACACATATACACAACACATGCAGAAATACACGAAGCAATGCCACACATGGTTTTATTCTGCTTTACTTTCATGCAGAGTTTTGAACTCCTTATGTTACTTTTTTTTACAATATTTTATTTTCTTGGAGGGAATTAGAACCACTATGTTCTCTTTACCTGAGAATCATAACTGTTTATTGTACAACAAGGCTACTAATTTGGCATATTATATACATTTGGAACATGGCATATGATATGAATTATAAAAAGATGGCATTTAAGAGAAATGGAAATAAAAATTGTGAGGGGAGAATCGGTCGACACAGGTAGGAGCAGGGGAAGGCAATCTCGTCCTTATTGAAATGTTAAGATAGATACAGTGTTTCAAAAAAATGACAGTTTTTAGAAATATTCTTAAGTACTGAAGGTCTGAAGTTTAGCATAAAAATATTTAGGTGATGGGTGTTTTACCCTTATTTCATGTATTATTTTGAAATCTAATGGCTTCACTCTGGGCAGACTATGAATACTGCATAAAATCCTAGAATGGAAGAACTGGAAGAACCTTGGAGAACATCTAGAATGCAGAACTACATATCTGAGATAGACAAGAGATCCAGCCTCCAATAAAGAAGAGTCTGCCATCTCTAAAGAAAGACATTTCCACTGCTGAATAGAGTTCATTGTTAAACATTTGTTCTCAATGTCCAAATAAATCTGCAATTAGATCTGCAATTAAATCTATAATTAAATCTGTAATTTAAGACCACTGTTTTTGGAAAAACCCTGAACAGAACTTTTACAGCTTCTATTTGTCAATCTCTCTATAGAGATTTATCATGCCCCCCATTCCAATCCTTCAGACTAAACATATTCAGTGCTTCCAACTGTTCTTATATACATTTATTCTTCTAGGACCTTTATCTGCTTTGATTTCCTCTAGACATCTACATGTCTTTTCTAAAATGTGTATAATATTCCAGAGCAGTTTGATTAACGTAGAACAGAAAGGAACTATACTTCTGTTGATGCAGTCTAGGATTACATTTACTTTTTTTCACAGCTGTTAGTGGGCTTAAGGAGTACTGAGAACTTCCCCACCGTGTCTTTAACAGAGCCTGGGCGTCATTTTAGTCAGATCTTCATGTCTGTGGCAACTGCTCTTCCTCTGGGCACCAGAACTGTTATCATCAATCAAAAAGGGCCTGGAATATATTCTAAAGCTCAACAAACAAAGAGCTATTCTAGGCAAGCTGGGCTCTTTGCATAGACTGATTGGATAAAGAACAAGCTACAAATGTTGACCTGTCCATTTTTTTCTTTTATCTCCATGCATTCAGCTGAAAATAAGCTTCCTTGTATTTGAATAAAACTATTACTCTCCATGTGAATTGGGACCATGTTTTATAGTGTACTGAGAAATAGTTTATGTTTAATTGAGGACACTCACCTTCATACTTTCCATATGAAAGTTGATGCAAGTAAGAAATAGGATTGTTTGTGTGGCCGTGTCATTTATCCATCTTTAAACTCTATTTGATCAAATGGAAATATACCACTAAGTAGGAGGCGATATTTACTACATATCTACCATTTATTTCTCTCCCCATTTCTCAAGATATTTTAAATATTGCACTGTGATATGCTATCAACCAATAAATGCCTCTGAATTCTGGATTTAAAAGAGCAAGCAGGCAAGAGAAGTTGATTTGTCCTCCAGGGAATCTTTAGAAATTTGGGTTGAGGAATTTGATGAGAAAGCCAAAAGGACACATCTGTAGGGGGTAGCATCATTAAACAATCACAGGCCTGAAGAATTGGTATATGCATAAGATCTGGTAACTCTCCAGCCCCATTTCTCCCCAGCATTATCCCTAAATTAAAAAAGCCAGCTAGATTCATATAGATGCAGGACTTAATAACGGCAGGTAATCTCTGACATTTAAAGAAAACAATGTGCAGCTTCTTCAACATATACACTCCAAAGGTTTTCTGCCGAAGAGGAATGATGAAATGAAGTAATGCAGTAACAGCATTTAACTTAATCAAATTTTATCTTGAAATTTATTCAGCTGAAAACAGTCAACTGCAAAATCAATAGCTCTGTGAAATTAAATATCTTTCTTCTCCATTGCCAAGTTCTAGGAGTTTGCCAGGTGGTGAGAGTCTTCCCAAATTATAACAAAATTGGAAAGATGGATAGATGTTCTTTCCTAATCTGTACAGGCATTGAAAAAAGGGACATGACCATTTTTCACGCATGACCATGGCAGCATCATCCCCATGGGCACGTGATTTACATTTACATCCAATTTACATTTGGATGTTTGATAGCTGGTTCATATTTATGACAGCGGCAGTGTCCCAGGGTCATGTTATAAACTTTTACAACCTTCTGACAAGCAAAGGCAATAGAAGCCAACTCCAATTAACAACCTTGTTATTAATTTAACAACTTCAGTGATTCATATAACGAATGTGGCAAGAAAAGAAGTAAAATGAGACTAAACTCGCTTAACAAATTTCTCACTTAACAACATAAATATTGGGCTCAATTATGGTTGTACATAGAGACTACCTGTATTTATTTTTATTTGGTACTACGACAGTTGGGATTCTTATTGAGGGGGAGGTTATCCTATTCTAGAAAACAGGCTTTGCGCTGTGAGTGCCTCAGTGTAAAACTCTAAGAGAAGTGCCTCAGTGTAAAATTCACAAGGGAGAAATAATTTTACTTAGTCTGTGAATTGAGCCAATCAAAAAGAAAGCTATAAAAGGGCTTTCAAATCCAAGACATTCTAAAGAAAAGGATTACTTAGGGAAGAAGATGCTTTTAATTTGTCTAAAACTGTTTTTCCTCAAATAAAGTTGTATTATTAGTGGGGGAGAAGGAGGGGGAGAGAAAGAGAGAAAAAAACTTCCTGTACTGCATAACAAACACTTGAAGGATAAAGATGCATTGAAATCTACTCTGTTGGATTAAATCAAGGAAAGAGAAAGTAAATGGCTGATCTGTATGATACACTAGTCATGACTTTCCTCCAGGCTTCAGCAATATACTGTAACTAGGAATTTTCTCTGGACCATTTTCATAATCTACTATTTAAAATGTTAAAAATAAAATTGACATTAATTTTAAACAATTGCATTCTATATGCACAAATTTCACAGGATAAGATTTAGAACATCGTTTTATTAAGTTTCAATATATTGCTTAGAAGAACAAACTGTAAAATTGCCCTGCAGATTATTTTTCTTGCCATAGAAACCAAATCCGCACAAAGCACAAGACTCTTATAGCCATAGGTTTACAAATTCCATATTAACACACACACACACACACACACACGACTCTAATTACGTAGGATTGAAATTCCCCTGTCACTTTGAACAGCCAAGTGTTCCAATGCTAACACAACCAATGTGATTCACTTCCCAGAAAAGATCAGTTTTCTTTATCATGATGTATGCTCAAGAGTAGTAGTTGGAAGAAAAACTAGCTTGGTTAAAGGCAATTTTACCAAAATATTTGGGACTCAAATTATTAGCAGATTGAGTAGCTAACAAGCACAGGTTTCATAACTGTATATAAATGGCTTTTTACTATGCCTTATGGACAAATTTTAAAAATCAATGTATCCGTTTGGCTGGATAGCTTAGATGAGTGATGGCAAACCTTTTTGTCGTTGCATGCCGAAATCCATAATGCAATGAGCACGGGACTCCCCATGTGCTCCCCCTGTGCATATGCGTGTGACACCACACGTGCGCCCTGCTCCCCCGCACATGCATCCATGACTCCCATGCTTCCCCACATGCACATGCGACCCCTCTGTATGCGCTCCACCCCTCTGCCCATTTTTCCCTTCCATGTTGGTGCAGGTGGCTTTTCAGGTCCAAAATGGGATGCAGGTGGCCCCCCCATACCCAGTTTTGGGCCTGGAAGACCTCCTGCACCAACATGGAAGCCAAAATGGGGCACAAGCTCCTAAAAAGCAATATGAGCACCCTCCCCCCCTTGTGCATGCACTACCCCTGCTCATGCATACGTGCATCCCCCCCACATGCACCCCTAAGACCATGTGGCCGGTGGGAGGCGCACGTGCATGCATGGTGGAGTTGGGCTGGGGCAATGGCTGGCGTGCCCGCAGAGAGGGCTCCACATGACACCTGTGGCACATGTGTCATAAGTTCACCAACACGGGCTTAGATCTTATCTTTTATTTAATGCAATCTAAGAGAATTTTAAGACCAATTTATATAAACCTGCAAAGTAGTATTTCTCTCATGAACTTCTGAATGAAAAATGCCTGAGAAAACGAAGGGGAGTGTGTGGAGAAATCCCAGTTTTGCTTTTCTGACTTGATCGAGAATAATAAAGTCTGACTTGAACATAAATAGCTGAAGCTTGAAGCTTGCCTGGTATATTGCATAATATTTTCTCATTTTAAGAGAAAAGCTTACAATTTCCTAAAGCCTTTATTTCCCAGATTCCCACCCCTGTAATGAACCATTGCTGATTATGAACTAATACTGATAATCACTAGCCAAAATTGGCTATTTGAATTGTTTGGTTATTCAGTATTTATATCCAAATTTAAACGGCTCAGATAAACCATCACCACTTTTTTCATTATTTGTTTCATTCCAAACCAGCTTGAAAAAATATTTTGCAACTTTGTCTAGAGACATTGACACTTTGACTGCAAATTACCAGTCCCTGAGCTTTCTGGCCCCTGATTTGTGAAGAGCTCACAATGAAAATCCTATCTACAAGATTTCCAGGCTGAGCTCCTTAGACAACAGATGGAATCCACACGTGGACGTGAAAAGAAGGGATAAGCCATATAAAAATAAACTGATATGAAGAATAAGAGAAGAGAATACACTCACGTAGTTCTTCCTGGTGTCTCTCAGTCTGCTCAAAATAGTGACGGAGCTCTTCTGTAATTTCCATGTTGTCAAGATCACATTCTATGTCCTCTTCACTTTCAGATTCTGAATCTGTTTCAGAATCTTTCTCTGCTGCTCTCCTTTTTCTGACATAATGCAGGCCATCCTGAGGTCTTGGAGGACGCCGTGGTTTGCTGTCTGAGGTGGAGAATGAAGATGGACCATTTCTCCCTGGAACATTTTCATCCCAATCAGAATAACGTTGATGTTGTTCGGAAGGATGAAGTGATGGATTATATACTAATTCCATAGCTTTCCTATAAGCGTTTTTATGTCTATACATCCACTCCATAGCTTCATTGTAATGTTTCCAATATCTTGCATACATCTTTTGAAAATACCATGGTCCTTTGTCTTGACATAAAAAATTAGCCTAAAAAGAAAAATAAAGTTCAGCAGGGTAAGATTTCATTCTTATACAATGTTTTGTAAGCATCCTATGTATGTAGAAAACAAATATTTGTTGCAGCCAATGTTCCCTCTAAGGTGCGTGGCTGCGCACATGGCAAGAAAGCACCGAGCAGCAGTTTGCAACTGCCAAGCAGTGATTTCTACCGTCACAGGCTCCGGAAGCTGAGGAGGTCCTTTGCAGGCGGCTAGAACTGGCTGCCCGCAAAGGACCTCCCTGGACTTGTTTTGATGAGTACGAGGCGACTGACGGTAGTTTGCGCTGGCCGTGCCCGGTCAAACTATCGTCAGTCACCCCGTGTTCAGCAAAGCAAGCCCGGGGAGGTCATTTGTGGGCGGCCAGTCCTAGCCGCTTGCACCTGGTACTGAGGCTGAAGTGAACCCCCAAAGCCCCCGCCGCCACTAGAATAACTGCTGCCTCCTCCTCCTCCAACAGCACCACCACATTTGCTGTCCAACGCTGTAGCTGAGGTGAAGCTGCCAAAGCTCCCGCCGGTGCCCCCGCCTGTGGCAGCGGTGCCTCCCCCTCCGCTCGGAGCACCTGAGCTGGGCACCGTGTTACCTCTGCCCCCTCCTCCTCCGCCATGCTTTTGAGGAGCCATGAGGCCGCGGGAGCCAGTAGGAAGGTGGCAGAGGGGGCGGGAGCAGGAAATAAAGGTCCCATGGCTTCTCAAAAGCACGGCAGAGGAGGAGGCGGCGGCAGGGGTAACCCAGAGCCCAACTCAGGTGCTCCGAGTTGAGGGGGAGGCGCCGCTGCCGCTGCCATGGGCAGGGATGCCAGCGGGTACCTTGAATTAAGCGGGTACCTTGAATTAAGCGGGTACCT